TGCATTAGGAACGAAATGGTCGCGGTGAGAGGGGCGTCGCGCGCGAAGGAATGTAGCAGGATGCAGCAGTAGGTAAGAAATACAGGAACAAAAGTACTAATAGTAGAATTATGCATAAAATAATGATCGCATATCGATTGAGCTGAATGAAGAACGCTAGAGCTGTAATAATGACGAATGAGTGGTCCGCGACAGCCGCTTGCGGCGAATCGATTACCCAAAATCGTTCCTAACGCCCGTCTCCTTGGGCTTACTCGGTCGATGAGATAAAAAAAATAATACAATATGCAAGATAAGTATAGAAATCACATGAAATGTAAAAACTAATTCGAACCAATGACAAACTAACATCGTGTGTCGTTTCACTCCAGATATATGCTGATACCATCGTAGTCAAAAGAAGATGAGCTAATCTCCAATCCTCGTATGTGGACAACAAGTCTGTAGTGAGTTCTGGCATACTGTGAAGGGCTTGTCGGACGGAATGACTTCTAATGACCTCCGCAATATTATCTGAACATGAAAATCCGTTGTATTCATGATTTCTCACCATTTTTTAATGCTTAAGACATAAAAGGCATCTGCGACCAGATCACAAAAGGCCATCTTAAACTTCTACCTCAACAGCGTTTTGTTCTTGTGTTATTTTAATGATATTCTCTGGCCCTCAGCATCTATTTCCTACAAAGCGCTCTTACTAATCAGATTTCTCCAACATTGATGGCACCGCAAAAGCTGCAGGAATTTCGCGTCCCTGTCATGGTAATAGTGTGTTTACCAGCGCTTTTAAACGGGTATGGGTACATACGTGCGTCCGAGGATGCGCGCGGCAAATTGCGCGGCGAAGTGCGTGGTGATTNAATCACCACGCACTTCGCCGCGCAATTTGCCGCGCGCATTCTCGGACGCACGTAAGTTCCGTCCCCCCTTTTAAACATCTCAGCGGGAGGCAGAGACAATATTAATTAGGGATGCCGGGGAACGAGTTCGAGCTACATACATAGAGGGCGAAGCGCAGCCCGAGCCTGGCCCAAAAGATTACCAAATGTGTTCTAGCGCAGCACACAGACTCGCAAAAAATGGAGGGAATCACCGAAAAAAATCAAGGCCAGAGGTAGTTGATACCCTCATGAGGGTGAAGCTGCATCATGACAGCGACAGAGACCCGTAGCCAAAAACCACGGTTTTTTTAAAGAGTTGCCACAAATTCTCTGCATTTTTTATTTAGGCGCAAGCCCCGCCCCTGGGAGGCGGGTCTCTCCCTCCTAGAAATAGGGTAATTTGATACAGCTATACGATTCCTTAACACTAATATTTCTAGGTGAACCGATTCTCAACACTAGGCTTACAGCGTACACATATCTATTATTTGAAGGACCACGGTATCAATTTAGAAAAATGTGATGTTTAGGTCGAATCTCTCAAAATATCCCTGCTCATTCCCCTTCTTCTTTAATCTAACGAAATGTTTTTCAACTACACTAGCCCATTTAAGTGAATTATCGGGCTGCGAATGATCACCGACTTTTTATAAATGATTTATTGCCATTCACAACAATGTACGCGATGGGAATCGAATCGCAGTGGTTCGTGCACTCGATCTGCCCTATCAAACCTTTTTCTAGAAGAAAACTATGGCTATTAGCGAACTTTCGCAATAGGCAAAATAGAATCATGGGTAAAATAAAATTTTACCAAATTTGGTCAATATTGTAGGAAAACATACTACACATAGCAATCCATGGTTGATAGTACTCGGGCATTTTCGAAAGGTCGCATTCCAGCAGGAATCCTAACTCTTTCGATACTCGAAAACGTGTCAGCACATTTTGAACGTTATCTGTGACCATGACTCGATTTTTATCACTATTTACCCTGAAAGTTCTGAATTGTTGGCATATGGAGATTGTGATACTTTTGAAATTGTGATAATTTTGTAGCACTTCATATTCACTGGCGAATATTAGCATTAGAGCAGTGGGCTTATAGAATGTGTGGGTTGATGTCCGGATATGGATGGTTAGGTATCTTCTCCCCGAGCGGCGTGTCGTGCTTGCCGCACGCGATCGCGCGTTGTGAAGGGAAGGATTCGAATTCCTTGGGGAAGGATACGGAGAGTCGCCGCGTCACCATTGCCGCAGGCCGTGGGAATTCGGGGAGAAGTTCCGTTGCCCGGGTATGGGCGTCGTTTTCAAGGAGGTTATAAGGCCGGCCGCGTTCTTTGAAAAAGGGGGTTCTTAATAAAGAGTTTTTTCAAACGTCGAGATTCCCACAGTAATCGTGTTCAATATACGGAGATATTGTATAACGGGTACTACGGTAAAGTGGTGTTTTGTAGCGCCGTCACCACTTGGCCGACTAAAAGATTCCTGGATCGATACCCACCCAGATCAAACAAACCTTCGAACTGTTTGAGCTTGTTGTATTAGATACATTTGAAAATTTATTGGTAAGGCCGTTGTTCTAGGGAACACGTAAGAAGAGTCACAATAGCTGATCTTATGGATTTCGACAACTCATCGGTATAAACCCTCCCTTATCCGCCAGAGAGAACTTTCAAGGTGATTATTATATCCCACACCCCGAGGGTATAGACCATCCTGGACATGATATGGGGGAATAATACGACATGGCAGGAGCTCAAATTTCCTTATATGAAGATTGATTTGTGAGAACACTTGAAATGAGGCTCATTTGTTACGGAGAGGCAGACCTTTCAAGCCGCTGAATTTCTCATAGAAAGAGCTCCCTTTTGGTTGATTTTCAAAAACGCCTCTGCAATTTTTACGGCGAAGGGTAGTCCGAGAGGGACACCTCCAGTGCATTCCGTGTTTTTGTGAAAATTGAGCAGTATTACTGAAACCTATTACTCCCGATGGCATTCCTGCTAAATAGGGCCGAGTTTTCCGAAAAGGACATAGATGAGAATTTTCCTAATCTATCAAGTGCGAACGAAAAGAAAAACGGTGTAAAATAGTGTTGAATCGATAAACACGGGAGGTTACTGGCAGAACTATGTAAAGGGCGATCGATCGCAATTGCTTTATCTTTTTTGACGCCACATTATTTACAACTGAGTTAATCTTTGGTCTGATAAGGGTTGGCTTCTGGTAAGGCGACTTGCCCAGGAGGAAGTGGACTTCTGTGAGTGAGAACCATTTGTTCCCGATATCCATTATGGAGATGTCCGTCAGGTTCAACTCTTTTTGGAATTCTAGAAGTCTCCCAAGGATTCGAACAAACTTGATTCGTCGATTGTCTCAGGAGTAGCTGGGAGGTAAACTTGCCAGCGATATGATTTTGGGTCTAAAATAGCATTTTCTGTATCCTCTGCAATGCGCCTCGTCCGTATGGCTTTGAACTCTTGTGTTTCCATCGAAGAAGTATTCAAACACTTTCAGCAACTCAGTATGGCCGGTTCTTTTGAAGAAAAGGGCCGTAGGTCTGCCTTGCGGGGCACCCTTATCGGTCCCAGCCATCTTCCCAGTGTTTTATCGGACGGAATCTATGTGTACCATGAAATATTAGCACCCAGTAGGAGTGTTTTTCTTTGGAAGACTTGTTACAGATTGTTTAGGAAAGGGAAACAATTAACTAAACAACTTCAAAAAAAAGGTGCCGGTTTAAAGCTCTAGGTAGAGCTGTGGGTGTAAAACTACTGGCAGATAAACTATTTACTTTGCTAGAAAATGAATGCTAGTTCAGACTACGCGCCGATGCTCTCCATATCACCAGTATTCAATCCTTTTCCATTGCCATTTTCGAGGAGCCTGGATCAACGTTTCACACTTTCAATAGCTGCGTTGCCAGAACCGTACCAGCTCCCCTTGAGGGTAGCGCGATGGGCAACTCAATTAGATAAGTATAAACGAGTAGTCTGTGTTATAGTACGGGTGTCTTGTTGTTGTTGTTGTTTTTGTACTGAATTTTTTCGTTTCTTGTTTTTGTTATGGCTTGTTGTTTGTTCTTTGTTTTTGCACTTTTACATTTGTTATATTGTATTGTATTGTATTTAGAATCCTGAGAATGTTCCAGAAATGTTGTCTTCTTCAATCCATAGGATACGGTTGGCACATCCCTCGAACGACGTTCACATTTCCGTCGCAAGAAAGGTCGTATCCTGTATCGATTGCATGACTACGCGTCCTATTTGCATTTCAGGCGATTGGAAAACTCGAGAGACAGAGAATCATGAAAAGTAGTAAAAGTTTATTGGATTAAACTTTCCATTCCTTTTTTGTGTAATAAAGCACATCAGTAGCCCGTAGAAGGAGTAGCTTGTGTATTTTCTTATTCTCCCAGGAAAAAGAGCAGTAAAGCACTTCTTTGGGAGAATCTCAGGTATGTAGTCGATGTGTATGAAGTCCATATCGCGATTTTTCATTGATCGACACTTCAGTTTGCGGCTACTCTCCATGTGTATCGAATACTTCTAGGCGCAGTTTGCGGTTGGTCGTTCCATGTGCCTCATTTGGGTAACAGGACGGAAGTGTTGATGCAGAATAGTTCGATAGAGGAAATCCGCAGTATTTTCTAAGTGTAATACTTTCTCGAACGAGCTATTTTAAAGATGGAGCGAGGCCATGACGGTAAAGGGCAATGTTTGCCTGGAATTTCAAACGCTGCAGAGCTGCGTGGTTAGCTAAACGTAGCCGTATTCCTACCCGAAGTCTCACGGCAACGGCAGTGGTCTCCATGCAAACACCGCAATCTTCCTCCAAAATTCAAATCTCCTTTCTCACAGCGATCGGTACGACAGAGGCGGCAAGTTCTTTGGAGAAGACAACCCACTCCCGTTGCAGCTGACCTTAATAAAAAACGTGCTCAAATTTGAATGGTGCCACTCTTTACGGGGCTCTAGAACACGTCCCTACTTGGAAGTAGGTATTGAGCGGAATGATTGTGAGCACCAAACCTATTTGCCCTTTTGAGACCCTTCTACGAATAAGAAACCCCCGAAACCATTTCCATTAGAGAGTTGCCTTCGCGCCGACTCTGAAAGATTGATTTCTCTAGTCTGGCGGGAGTGTTAACGTTATCAAGTCAGCCCCATAAAATGCGATCAAGTGGCCGTTTGCATAATAGTATGCTGCCCACAAGCCAAAGCAGCTTACGATTGAAATTGGAGGTCTTATGGTGCTCTAGAGCAATAGAAATCAAACTTCAAGGAAGTAGAAGTCATTCGTATCGCCCTTCATCTTGACCTTGAACAGTATTTCACATTTTTACACATTGAGAGTTTTCAGTCACCCTGAATTTCCTGATATCGTCAGACTCCAATCAGACGGAATATGGCTAAACACCCGACCTCCAGATACCCGGTTTTAAATTTCAGATATTAGGTCATTGATGATTACTACGTTACGCTGGATCCATTTCTAATAAGAACAAATGCGAAGATGAATTTTAGGCTTTTCTCTTACTTTATACTTTCAGCAAAATGGGACACGAAACGGTAGTAAAAGTACAAAGCAAGGATCATTTTCCTGGGATGCGCCATGCTCTGATTTCTGACTCGGAAACGTGACCGCGTTTGAAAGTGTATCTGATCTTTACGAACGGCAGATACTCAAGCTGAATATCCTACCTAGGCGCCTTGTTGCGAAGGAGAAACTGAATCAAGAAAGATGTGGACTCGGTATGGGTATAGGTCGACAGTACTGAATGAGCAAGGGTACGTAGCGGTCCACTCTATTCACCATTGCCCGGAAACCATTATCCCCATGTATACTTCCCGAGAAGGACTGACGAAAGGGTTGACAAGGTAGCACACAGCTGACTCCATAGCAGATTTTCTCATCCACTGTCGTCCTCCGCTCAAATGAATAGCTCAAATGATAGTATAATCCTGATTATACTGAACTTCCCCAGATATCTTGAGCACGCTTGTATAGCTGGTAATCGTGGACTTTGGCCGAGAAGTGGGAAGAAGGAAGGTACGTTCGAGGAAGACCCATGAACAGACTTCAGGTCCCGCTTCTTCAGAACTTGCTGCATGATTCGCTTCCCGACCCGATTATTTGGGCAGGATGACATTTGATCTTGCACGACTACATATCCACACCTCCCTAATTATCTACATGCAGATGTCCCCTGCCGAATTGTATTTCTGGTCCCTTTTTCGGCTATGTTTATAGCAATAAGAGCACTCTCGAGATAGCCCCGGTAAATTGGTTAGGGGGCGATGCAAGTAACCTCGCCAGCCGTAGCAACAGACGTCATTCCCATCGTTATCGATCATCATAGACGCCGCAGACCGCTCTGGAGCCAACGCCTCTCACGTTCATCCGTTTTTCTCCTGTATGATAGGCCCCGATCGCGATGGGTACTAGCAGTAAGACCCATTGGAATTGTGCCAACAAGTGCTGAACAGGCTGCTTGCCCGATTAGGAGTAAGCACTGGAAATTACCTTCGAAGGAGGGTTACCCTCGAAAGCACCTCCGATTGGAACCGCGGACTATCGCAGTGAGGTAGGCATGCGAAGCATTTCTCAGTTTCATTGCAGGGAAGTTAAGTGTAAGGTCTCAAATATGGTAGGTAATAAGTGTTCGGTTGTGAAGAATCTGCTGATTGCAAGGTAGGGTGGGTAACCATCATTGTGGACACTGGGGATGACCGAGGTTCACGAATATTTCTACACAAATATAGTTCTGTCTTCTGTGTAAAAAGTCAAGGCAAGAAATCAGTCGTGGTTGACCACAAGGACGCGACAATCTCCCAATCATCGATCTCTGAATGAAATCAAAAAGTCGCTAAGGAACTGGCATTTGTAAGTCCGTTGCGTTCCCAAACAGCCTTCCGAGCTCAGGGATGGATAGCATGGGTTAGAGACTTTTGCTCAGGCTCTAACCCATGTTCCCCATCCTAATTACTC